GGAGGGCTAACGTTGGATGCGTTCCGTATCAATAATGGAATTCAGGAATGACTGATTGAACGAAAGATAGCTTACACGTGATGATTAAATTGATTGCTTAATCTCATAATGAGGATTTATTAAACACCAATCAAGCGGCATAAAAAAAAATACCGCTAATCCGGAAGCCAGTTAGAAGAACTCACACTAACACGCGACCGGATGATGAATACTATTTACTATAGAATTTGATAATTGGTTCCCAATCACAGCCGTGCGGAACCGGAAGCCGGAGCATCGGATTAACGGTTATTTTTACGTAGTAAATATTCCCTTCGCAGTAAAAAGCGTGCGGATATCGGGGTTTCCGGATTATCTGCAACCGGATAAACGGCTCCGATGGATGCGTTTCTATAATATTCCAATATCATAATACTCCTGGTTAATTACACGTTGAGATGACCTAAAAATCGTCGTGACTATCCACTCTGAAAATCAAAGAACTGAAGCAAGAAGAAATCAACCTATTCTCGAATTGATACACACGACAACAAAGCTTCTATTAAGTAGGATTTACACCGGCAACTTTCTTCTTTCAACCTTGTTCAACTTTTTGTAATCACAACTCAAAAGTTGAAAGAGGTTGTCTAAACATGATCTGCAACCTCTGGTTTCGACCTCCATGCTACAACCTTTTTCAACTAGCAACCAAATAGGTTTCAGAAGCTAAATGTTTTTGAGGTTGCCCAAGGTTGCTACTGGCTCTAGGCATTTCTAGGAATCGCCTCCGTTTTGTATGCATCGTATTGCCAATATGTTTTTGTTTATAGATTTCGAGTTTTGCGGTTCGGATTGTTGTATGGAATAATATTTTGGTTTTGTTTTTGTTTATTGGTGATTATTGACAATGGGTCCTATGACGTCATATTTTGATCTATCGATTTTAACCTTATTACCATCATACATTAATGATATTTCGCTCTAACCAGGTTGTAGTTGCAAATGGGAATTAGGATCGAAAACCGTAGAAAAAGCACCACCTTTATGACGTCACAATGACGTTATAACTAAGATTTGGCGGCATTTTTTGAAAATCCCATTATTAGTTTCCTCTCGGAGTGTTTACATGCTAAAACATTTTTCGATTTTTCTGATTTTTGTTAGGGTTCATCTCTTGGTGATTACATACACTCACATAAAGTTTCGTCCAAATCCACCAAGAATTGTGCCTTCTAGAGTGTTTACCTGCTACAAATTGAACGCATTTTCAAGAACAAGGGCAATAACTCATATCAATTATTTTTGTAATTTCCAATAGGGTTCATTCTTAGGTGACAACAAACACTAACGCCAAGTTTCATCAAAATCTGTCAAGAATTGGGCCTTCTAGAGTGTTTACGAAACGCGTTTTCAAGAACAACGACAATAACTCATACTTAATATTTTTTTAATTTTGCTGAATTTCGATAGGGTTTATACTTGGGTGATTACAAACACTCCCACCAAGTCACGTCACAATCCGTCAAGAATTGTGCCTTCTAGAGTGCTTACAAGCTCAAATTGAACGCGTTTTCAAGAACAAGCGCATTAACTCATACTAATTATATTTTGATCTTTCTCATTTTAAATAGGGTTCATCATTGGGTGATAACAAACACTCACGCCAAGTTTCATCAAAATCTGTCAAGAATTACGCCTTTTAGAGTGTTTACGAGCGTTTTAAGAACAAGGGCAATATCTCATACTAGATATATTTCGATTTTTCTGATTTTCAATAGGGTTCATTCTTGGGTGATTACAAACAACCATACCAAGTTTCGTCGAAATCAGTCAAGAATTGTGCCTTGATGAAATTTGGTTTGAGTGTTTGTTACTACCCAAGAATGAACCCTATTGAAAATCAGAAAAATATTTAGTATGAGTTATTGCCCTTGTTCCTGAAAACGCATTCAATTATTTTTTTTGGCTCGTCAACACTCTAGATGTTATAGTTCTTGACAAATTTTCACAAATCTTGGTAATATTATTCAGTATCGCCCCAAAAAGTTAAAAAGCGTATGACTGAAGGTTGAATGTTTCCAGCCCAACAGAGCATTTGTTTGATTTGATTTGAATAGTTAATAACACATAAAATGCGTTGCACAATGATTTTGTCAGATGACAGGTGGATAAATTGAACATCTACATATTTTCATCAGATCTATTGCACTTTCTATTCTCCAAAGCCTTTTCTTGACTCAAAACTATTACAGTGGTAGCAAATTGTTGTATTTGGCTCGGGTCGACATCTAATTTCTGACTGGGGGAACATCATATACATTGCCCCCCCCCCCCCCCCCCCCGAAAATAGCCATTAAAGACAATTCAATTCATTCATACAATTGAACTGGACGTCATATTCACTTCATTCATTCATTTGACCACTATAGTTGGTAAATATATAAATAGATATAATAGATAATCGTGATATACATCGATAAGGACATTGACAGACGATGATCTCTGGCATTATCTGGGTATCGATATATTGCACATTGGAGGTAACTCCCAGAGAGGTCAAGAGACAATTATAGGCCTATTTCATGTTGCGGATATAGTTTGAACGATTATTGCATTATTCAGAGAATAACAAATGTTTATTTCCTTTTAATTGTCGTTTCAGTCTTCAAAAAACTGTTTCCTTGTCCTACAAACTGACCCAAAACTATATCTACCACCCCTAAAAAAATGTCAGTTGTTACTTTCAAATACATTAATTCATTTTACTGAATCAATGGGAGTCTTTGTTATAAGACAAATAATCCTGAACTTTAAATTCGTCGGGAAATGTCAGGATACTGCGTTTTTTGGCGTCTAATTCTAAAAATTTTCTCAGTGGCATACATACCACAGACCCTATACAAATAATCTTGAACCTTAGATTCACTGGGAAATGTCAGGAAATTCTCAAAATTTTCTTGTGGTGGTCCCACAGTCTCTATACAAATAAACCTTAAATTCGCCAGGAAATGTGAAGAAATCTCGTTTCAGGGAGTCAAATTCTCAAGAATTCCCTAGAGGGGCTTCCAATGGGCGTCCTCGACAGCAATAAAGATAGCAATAACTCTTATAGAGAGCATCACTGTCCCCCCAAAAGGACTTGGCTGGCCAGGAGCCCAAAAATATGTGCCCCCCTCTCCCCATGTTAGCCAAACGGACCGCCGCCCCTGCAACAACAGTTGATCATTTGATAAATTGTAATGATCTTCGTAAGAAATGGATTGAAAAGAGGTTTTCTAAATTTTTTATGTGAATCGGGGAATCCATAGCATCATTCCAATATTCATTCAGACGTCTGTGACTCTTGCAATCACATTTAAACTATGCGCTTTATTACCTCACTATCGCAAGGGAATTACAGACATATATACAACTCAAAAACGTTCGCAGTCGGTACACCGTTTACTGACTAAGTTGTCCAATATATCGTTCGTCAATCTTCCTAAAGTGAAGACTAGGTCAGCATGTTTATGATTTGAAATTATCCCCTGCACAAGCAGATACTAGATGACTACCTTTTATACAGTTTTGTCCACTTTTGACGATTTCAATAAGTAGGTTCACAAGATGACATGGTATAAAGATAATAATAACATATCAGTTACAGATTTTTGTCTATGATTCTTTAAATCTTGTACATGTTGGTCGTTTGTTTTAGAACTTTTCTTTTGAAGCTATTGTGTGGACGTAGACCCGTTGGGCCAGCCGTTCTCGATTGGGATCCACCTGGTTTGATGATTATGAATTTCGTCATAATCTGTTCAGATCTGCGATTAAAATCGTTAAAAATTCTAAAAACAAGGGCAAAACTATTTTTCGATTTTTTTTATCATTCACAAAGACTGTATTTTTGCATTTTGTAATCAATCAAGGGGTTAAAATGAACGTGACTTGAATTTTTGATTTTCAATTTATCATCTTAAATTTCCTTTCTACGGAGCCCGTTAGGAGCAATTGTCCGTACTTTTATAAAATAATTCGTTTAAACGAAATAAGTTATTCGATTAAACGAAATGACTAGGGGCTCCGTACTTTTCTTTGTCTTCGTGCATTTCTCTGTATATCAAAATTTAAAAGACTTGAAAATAGCCAGATTTAACTTGTAGGACTGTTAAAACCTTTCAGTAATTAAATGGATATTCCGCTTTTTGTTAAAAGTTTTTATTGTCAAAAACGTCGTAAATTATACCTGAAAATATTTTTGAAGTATGCTATTTATATCTATGTATCTTCTTGATCACACTGAATTTGTTGTAAAAGGGTTAATTAAGCAGTTTGACCTAGTTTTGGTATTTATAAGGGTCGATATTAATAAATATTCTTAGCGTTTAAAAATTAACCGTTGGATTTAACTTTTAGATATGTTAAGGGCACATTTCTCTAGATCTTGGTGTATTTTTTGACATATTGTGACGAACCATTAATTCATAAAAAAAAATCATGAAATCAACCATTTTCAGTGGGTAATTGAACGTATAATAATTACAGAAGACAACTTTCCATAAAATCATATAATTAATGTACAGAATGAAATCGTTAGATCAGTTTGATATTTTTGATAACATTGTACTCTCGTCAATAATATAATATCGTAATAAACATACAAGTTTATTTATCGAACATAATGATACAACAATAATGAACCCTGTTCTCGGACTAAACTTCGGTGTTTCCATTTTGTGGCAGCGTTCTGTATTTAACCCACTGGGCTTATGAAAGGAGGGGGTGGTGGTGGGACTCCGCCAATAGAGGGACCCGCAGCTGATAATCCTGGTAACCCTCCAGGCAGACCCGAACCTGGTCTGGCACCAGGCAGTTGTGGCCCACCTATTCCAGGTTGACCACCCATACCACTAGGAAACATACCTGGTTGTCCCCCCATTCCTGGTCGCATAATTCCTGGTTGAACTCCAATTCCCGGTGGTCGCATGCCTTGAGGGAATGCACCGGGCTGTCCTCCCATTCCTGGAAAAATACCTGTCCTAATTCCCTGCTGACCTCCCATTCCTGGCATCATGACTTGTTGACCTCCCATTCCTGGCATCATGCTTTGTTGGCCTCCCATTCCGGGCATCATGCTTTGTTGGCCTCCCATTCCTGGCATCATGCTTTGTTGGCCCCCCATTCCTGGCATCATGCCTTGTTGACCTCCGATTCCAGGTATCATGCCTTGTTGACCCCCCATTCCCGGCACCATGCCTTGCTGACCTCTCATTCCTGGCATCATACCTGGTATCATGCCTTGTTGACCTCCCATTCCTGGCATCATGCCTTGTTGACCCCCCATTCCTGGCATCATGCCTTGTTGACCTCCCATTCCTGGCATCATGCCTTGTTGACCTGGCCTTCCCGGCATCATGCCTTGTTGACCTCCCATTCCAGGCATCATCCCAGGAAACATACCCTGTTGATTACCCTGATTATTTAATCCTTGTAAGCCACCCATTCCCGGGAACATGCTCTGCTGTTGCCCACCCATCAATGCCGCAAAGGGATTCTGATTACCGAACATGTTCTGTTGCATACCAGGGAATCCACCACTGCGAAGTCTGTCTAACAACGAATCACCTCGGGAATTTCTGCTGGAAATTTGACGCAAACTGTTTGAAAACACAGTATTGAAACCATTACTTCTAGTGCGATCAAGGAAGAAATCGCTCACTCGTAGATCACGGTTGAAGGCACCAAATAGATTTCTAGAATCCCATCCAGATTTTAAGCGGTTATCGAATGAATCTCTGAAATCCGTGATAGTAAGACCTTTTCTTGTACCACCAGAAGATTCGTCTACTAACTTTATAAATTCAACAGCCAAGTCAATATTGTCTTCTCCTGAAAGAAAAGTAATAACCAATGGATATATATCAGAGAATCAAATTGCTAATAAGATGAGCAGATTGGATGTTCTGTGGTCCCGTAGTTCGGTATTAAAAATTAACAAAACACCAGAGGAAGAAGATGAAATGGTAGTTCTATCTTATATGAAAAATTTTAAACGAAGGTTAGTCGTAGCTAATCGTAATATATCAAAAGAAATTCGCAGCAGAAAACGGATGAGATCGGCTGCTTTAAGCAAGAATAGTTTCGGTCCCGATAGTACTCGATCTTTTTGGTCGATTGAGCGTATTTTGCCGAAAGTAGTTCAAATATCAGATTTAAGGCAGCCATCGCGGTACATAGTAGTCCATTGAAGTTGGGGTACATGAAAGTGGTATATTTACCTGTTTTCTCCGGGGATAGACTAACGTTAGATTTAACTGACCAATAGATATCTTGACTGTGAACAACAATAGATCTGTAGAATAAATAAATGAATGATTACTGATTAATCTAGCATGTAATTGGGTACTCATACGTTCGAGCTTCTTCATTTAAGATTTAATCGTTTTCAATGACTCAAATTTTACGCGACTCAAATATGCTACAGACATTTGTTATTCAAGAACTCCTTATGTCTTTATCTTTATAGCGATAAAGAAACAACTTTACAATTCTGGTAATTGGCCATAATTTGCAGGAACTTACATAAATATAGTTTGACATATAAGTATTAGCCTTAACGTTGAAATATATCAGAATCAAGTTTGGGGAAATGAAAGATACATGTCGTTACAAGTTATATATTTTGTTTAATATATTGGAATTTAAACACACAAGCTTCGACTTGGCCATAGAAAACAAAATGTTTACCACCTTTTCATAAGAATATTTTTTCTGAAACCATATGACGAAAAAAAAACACCAAAGTCAACCAACCTAAATGTAATTGTTCCGTAATTCCTTCCTTCAGGAGCCCATCTCAGACTTATTCTTTGCCTTCTGGAATTACCTCGTTCATGAACAGCTGTATTACCTTCTAAAGCAGTACCACAAGAGAACTGTACTATACTACCTTCAGCCCATCGACCAACAATATCTTCATTTTGATCCAGGGCGAAAACTGCGAAACCATTTACCCTCCATCGCGAGGTGGAGTCGATTGTTTCAATTGTAACTGAAACGAGATAATTCATAACAAAATAAAAATGTAAGGCAGTTTTAAGACTCCAATTCTTCAAGTATAGATTCACAGAATCCATGATCGACATTTTAACGCTACCATATCCAAAAACTTGTATCTTCTTTTCCGTTTCAATCTGTCGCAAATTCTCACTGATAAACTATTAAGATTAAGATATTTAGATTATTAGACAATATCAAACAATGTAATTTTATCATGTGTGCTGAAAAGGTGAACCTCATTGTCACCGACACCTTCGACACCCTTGACAGTACTTTTGTATTTGGAATCGAATTGAAGAAATAAATAGGTTGAAGAATTATAACACTTATTGGATGAGGATTTACAAATTTAGAAATTACCTCGAACATCTTCATCCCAATACATATCATCGTCTCTGCCGTTATTAACAACAATACGGTACGGGGGTTCGTCTTCTCTTGCTTCGCAAGTACCATTACATCTGTCAGATACATGAAATGGTACACGATCCACTGGTCTACTACCACAATATAATCTTTCACTGGCTGTAGAAATTGATTCCCCATTTCTAAACGCGTTGATTTCTGTAGATAAACTAACCAAAATACACACTACTATATAAAATTCCATAATGGAAACATGAAGATCTTGCTATGTTGACAGTCGTGATCACTGTAAAGCCTTTAACACCATCCTTAATCATAACTTCCTTAATTAGATAAATCCAATGAAAAACTCAATTAAATTTAGCAACCTAATTAAATATATTTGGTAATAAAGATCATCAATCATATCTAATTGACAGTTTTAACCATTTTACATGTAGTTTTCTTCGCATTACCCCAATTTAAATAGGTATTAATATATAAATACCCGAGATATCGCTTTTATTTGTCTTAGTAGATTAGAAATTTACTAATGTTCCATGCATGTAAAATAGCTTGACATCATTACAGCTTTCAAGTTGCTCGAAACTGTATTATCACTGTTAATATCTATATATATATAAATTTTTCTTGTCAGATTGTTTTGTGCATCGCTCCAGACATTTCAGGGTTTAGGACTTCAACCGGAAGAAAACTCCTATATATACAAAAATAGGCCATGCCGAACTACTGTTGCAGAAATCAGATCGGATTTTGTATGTTATATTATGTTACTTTTCTAATAAAATTTAAGTATAGGTTAGATGACGAGCGCATAGCGCTGAGTGGTTTAACTTCAACACTTCAAACCACGGAAACTGAGTCATCTAACCGGTTTAGACCATAATCTGTTATGATATAATGCGTATGTTTCAAAATTATTCTTTTAAAAATTTGTACATAGAACTTTTGTGGAAGAGAATTGGTATGTTTTCCTATTACAAAACGCTCACGTTTCGTTGAATTTTTCAGTGTGAGCATAACTTAAAGTCTGACTCACACACGAGCCATCAGCTCAGGCGGAATTCATTCGCGCACTTCTCCTTAAGGCGATAGCTTCCGTGTGCAGGTAAATTTATGTAAGATTTTGGTCATTCGTGGCGAAAAGTTGAAAATCAAACGAGTTTGATAATTTTTTCTACTTATGGATAAATGCTTGTAATAAATACTTGGATAAATACGTGAGCGCGTAACTAAAGCTATCTATCTACTTAGAGGTGAATTTACGTACGCATGCGTAGTGACGTGACAATTCAGAATGGCCTCGCCCATGGATTTGATTGATAGTAGCCTAATTCATAGTCTTCAGAAGACGAAGAAATGTTGCTATTAACGCTGTTACTACGTCGTAATAGTACTCGAAAGAGAGCAAATTGTCACAAGCAATGGGTTCGAACCCGGATCCAGAGAAGGCATTCAAGGAAAGCTTCTTCCACCATATACAAGAGTTACACGACGAAGATCCAGAGAAATTTCGTCGGTATCATCGCCTATACAGACAGTCTTTTAAAGATGTTTGGGCAATGGTCGGCTCTATCAATTCCAATCAAGAGAAAAGAATGCGTCCTTTAATAAGCCCGAGTGAAAGACTGACTGTTGGGCTAAGTTATATGGTTACAGGTAAAATCTTTAATAGTAAAATTTATTCGTCTTCTGAAGACTAAGAAATAATATCAATCAAATTTAATTCCATGGGCGCGGCCATTTTGAATTGTCACGTGACTACGCATACGTAGATAAAGTTACCTCTAAGCAGATAGCTTTAGTTACGCGCACACACAAGCATTTGTTCATTCGTGGAAAAAATTATTTGATTTTCAACTTTTCGACACGAATGACCAAAATCTTACATAAATTTGTCCGCACACGGAAGCTATCAGAGAAGTGCGCGCATGAATTCTGCCTGAACTTATGGATCGTGTGTGCGCCGTGCAAGAATAAGTGCACGTGATTTACATTGATCAGTATTTAGTATGCATGTATCTGTATGAAGGTGAGTTTAGACAGGCATCCCTCAACCTCTAGCAACCTATTTCTGATGTTCACACATGACAACCTTCCAGGCTGATCGGAGTTCATAATCGCTAGAGCTGTGGAAAAAATTTGCAACGCTGTAAAAAAAACTAAACTTTTCTACATATTTTTTCGTAAATTCACGTCCCAATGGACCGGTCCGGCCCATCAGAGTTGTTTACAGAAGGTATGTGTTTTATTTGTTTCAAGGAGTTGGGACAAGGTGTGGTCCGCTCAAAAGGCTTAAATATGTTGATTGAATGTAGTGAGAAACGTGGAGATGATATATTACAGACATTTCTGCAATCCAGACTAAACGAACCTGAGGTAGTGACGATTCGTGTGCATGAGGTCTACCGTAATGAATATACGCTCGCCAGAAATGTAGAGCGTGCCAAGAAACATAAATCGGACGATCAAACGCGTTCAATTTTAGCTTGTAAACACTCTAGAAAGCACAATTCTTGATGGATTTTGACGAAACTTAGTGTGAGTGTTTGTAATCACCCAAGGATAAACCCTATCGAAAATCAGAAAAATTGAAAAATATTTAGTATTAGTTATTGCCCTTGTTCTTGAAAACGCGTTCAAGTTTTAGTTCGTAAACACTCTAGAAGGCACAATTCTTGACGGATTTTGACGAAACTTGGCATGAGTGTTGGTTATCACCCATGGATAAACGGTATTGAAAAATTGAAAAATATTTAGTATGAGTTATTGCCCTTGTTCTTGAAAATGCGTTCAAATTTTAGCTTGTAAACACTCTAGAAGGGAAATTCTTGACGGTTTTTAACGAAATTTGGATTGAGTGTTGGTTATCACCCAAGGATGAACCCTATTGAAAATCAGAAGAATCTAAAAATATTGAATGGAGTTATTGCCCTTATTCTTGAAAACGCGTTCAATCTTTAGCTTGTAAACACTCTAGAAGGCACAATTCTTGACGGATTTTAACGAAATTTGACTTGAGTGTTTGTTACCACCCATGGATAAAGCCTATTGAAAATGAGAAAAATCGAAAAAATATTTAGTATGAGTTATTGCCCTTGATCTTGAAAACTCGTTCAATTTGTAGCCCATAAAAACTCTAGAAGGCATGATTCTTGCCGAATTTTGACAAAACTTGGTTTTATTATTCAGTACCGCGCTGAAGATTGAATATTTGTCTTCTAGAGTTTTCACGAGCTAAAGATTGAACACGTTTTCAAGAACAAGGGCAATAACTCATACTCAATATTATTCAGTATTGTTCTAAAGAGTTCAAAAGAAGTGTATGACTGAAGGTTGAATATTTCATACTGGTGATTGTGACTGTACTGCTAAATATTAATGTTCAAAATCAAAGCTGCCAGTGGGCATATATTACCTTGCCTGGCAAGCTATTTTTATACTTAGACTGAACAAATTCAATGTTTGTCACAAATTGTCTTTCTATTTTATACTGTATGGGTCAAAGTCTTGCGGGGATTAATTCAATGTTATCAGATCGAAATTTAATGATATCTACGAAAGCCTTTTAGGCATGCCAAAAGAAATATATAATTTTTATTTTTCTGAATATATTTTGATGAAAATTACGAAATTTGCAAAATATTTTGTTAAGGTGTGTCTAAAAGGTTTTCGTGGATATCCACTCCTTATTGTAAAATAAAAATACACATATACTTTATATAACTCAACAATTTATTGAGATGTCTCATAATCTACACTTAAAATAACATTTTGATAGATAAAAACAATAATAAAGTTAGTATTAATATAATTATTAACTTGTCACCTTATTTAATAAAGATCTCTATTTTGATCAATTATACAAGGCACTCCTCCATTTATGTCAAATGTGATATATTATACCTATTTTACAAATATCTTTGAAGCTATAATTGTTCAGGACTCCAAAGAGTGAATAATAGTAAACCATTACTTGAAATTAATATAACTTGTCTGCAGTAACCTGGCTTGTTAAATGCAAAACTTTTGAAAACAAAATCTGAATTCGGTTGGTATACTGTGCTACAAAAATGATCGAGATCGTCACATCAGTAGATTTGTAGGTATACTCGACGAAAGATTTTGAACGCTTAGCAACAATTTGGCAAAAAGATGCAACAAAGGTATTGATGTGCAACAGAGGATGAAAGTTAATTTAATTCAATTTTGGATTTTCATATATGAAAGCGACTGTAAAGTTATAAAATCATAATATAATTCCTTCCATTAAAATATTCACAGAAATGATTCTTATCAATTCTTCTCCCATCACAAGTTGATTCTTTATACCATAGGTAACATCAATCAATATATAACAAATAACAAGTTACAGGAATATTGACTCCAATTCTAATACGTTTAGCTGTTCAGTAGCATATCTGAATCAATCTTTGATAAAGCTCAATCAACAGCTAAACCTATAGAAGTAGACTGAACATATCCTTTAGAGTATATCACATCACAATATGACTCAATGAGTCAATAGCACTTTTATGAATTCAAGTTTAAGGGAATGTCCGCATCTTTTACTTTAATGTCTAATATTCATTTTAGATTCCCTGTCAAAGTGCTTTAAAGAGGCAAACGGTGTTATCCTCTGTCAAAGCACATAAAAAGTGCATCGAATATATTTGTGTCTCAATGGAATCGCCTTTCAAGACAATAATGTCATTTGAACCTCTTCGTCGAACATCATGGGACTTGGATTGTCCGCGTCGGAGACGGCACTCCTGGAGTTGCTAGATTTTCCATCGCTGAGGAGCTGCTTATAGTAACTGGTGGGAATGGAATCTGTCCGTTAAAGAATCCAGGAAACTGAAAAGCTGGTCCAAATCTTGGACTCATAGTTGTAACCGGGCTTAATGAACTCCAAAAATGCAGTAATGGTGCTCTGGGTCCCATTATAGGACTCGGTACCATTAATGGCGTGGGTAATGCTGTAAATTTGAATGGGGAGATTTTGGTTGGTGATATTGGTATCGGTAAATACGATGATGATGTCGACAAATGAGACATGAGCGATGAATCTAAACTAATCGGACTTGGTTTCGGCTTTGAAACTGTGGATGATGTAGGTGAGGACGTCGTCGGTTGGGGTGATGCTGTCGAAGATCGTGAAGCTGTAGAAGACGTCGAAGGTGAAGGTACTGGTGCATCAACTTTGATTGTAAACACTTCTCTATCTCGTTTTACGATTTTTGATCTTGGTTCTTCACCTGAATCTCTGGAAGGTCGATGTGAAGTTTTCGAAGACGATTTCGTGCTTAAATCTGTCGGTTTCGCGTTTTGTGCCGATGATTTGATATTTTGCGCATTGAAAGAGGCAAAATGAGGCATCACTCTTTGTCCATATTCATGAGCAATTGACTCCATTTTAACTTTAAAGGGAATTTTGTTTTCTGTCTTCACTATTTCCGGAAAGGAAACAAATCTATACACAAATTTTTGTCCCATCACTTTTCTTATGATGTTTTTCTCGTAGTAGTATCTTAAGGCACGACTGAGTTTGTCATAGTTCATATTATGTTTATTCTTTCTTAAACCCCACAATTTGGCCACTTCTTCTGCGTTGATGAGTTTAAATTCACCTTCATTGCTAGTCCAAGATATAATATGTTTATGTTGATCTTTTACCAGCAGTTCAAGAAGAAATTGCCATAACGTTATGTTGGAATCCATGGTTAGTCCTAAAATAGAAGAGTAATTTACATCATACATATATAACAAGAAATGATTGACATCATAGTGCACAGGCATAAAAAAGATTGTCACTATAATACGAATAGATGTTAATAATACTAGAGTGATTTTAAGCGAAATTGCTGGCCATTGAGGACTGCAGAAATGAAAACAGATTTGCTGGTTATATACTACTTATGTCCTGTGGTTAAGTTAATTATGTCGGTTCTGTGAATTGTAATTTAAAATGATATATTCAATTCATTTATTTAGCTGGTTACAGACTGTTTATATCTAGCTGTTAAGTTGTAAATGATGGCTATATGAATTATTATGTAAAATTACTTCCTCAGTTTCAGTATTTGGTGAAAGATTTCTTATATTAAGTCGTTAAATTGTAAATATTAGATCTTTGAACTATGATGTAAAATTATTAGATCAGTTGCAGTATTTAGCTGGTAAATATCCAGTGGTTAAGTTATGACGGTTATTTGAATTAGATTTGGTATGGTGAGATATTGTTAAAACTTGCGGGTTCCTGTGCTTATCAGGTTATAACGACTGGGTGGGTATATATATATTTCAGTACTTTCAGTAGGTCTGTATTATTCGGGTCTATTGTGTGGGATGGTTTACTATTACTATAGGCCTATCCTGTATGAACAGGTTAATGATGATCGACATTCATTAACTGGCAACCGTAAAGTATTCAAATGTAATTTTGCTTTAATTAATTGTAAGACATTTAATACTCTTATTACAGATAATGAAGTAATTTAAAATTAAAAGTTGATGATAGCCTCTATACATAGCGGTCAGTGATACAATGCTTAAAGTCGTGCGGTACAATTCTCTTTCAGACTTTCTTTCTCGACGTTTCTTTTTAATATCGGTTATCGACGTTCAGTTTTTCTGTTTGAAGACCTTTAGTATGAATTCATTAATAATACTTAGTGTTTTGACTTATTCAGACACAAACAGAAACGTTTTTCTAACCGAAGTCGAGACAGTTCTTGAATAATATTGCGCTCAGAATGAGACGTATTTAAGCAAAAGAAATAGTCTGTAACCACTAGAGCTCATCCAAATTTCATCATTATCTACCACTGAAGGAAAGTGTACAGTTAAAAAAAGTGATTTCGAATCCACAATAATTCTTGGCATGGCCTTTTACAAAGCAACGACTTTCAGTCGAAGAATTTCCCTGGGAGCTTGCTAAATACAATTTTGACTGTACCTTTTTTTTTCTCATAAGATTCCATACTATGCTATTGCGTAGCCTAAGACGCTTTCAAATGGAGAAGTGACAACAGATTTGTGATTGAAAATAATGTTTATTATTAATTAATTCAGTGTGTTTCGCAATTTGTTTCACTACAGTTATTTATTTAAAAAAATTGTCTTCGCGGAGGCGGTGAAGTGAAATTCAACCAAATTCAGAATTTCCTCAAGTTGACACTTTGTATCTGGGACAATTGCTTTAAATTAGGTTTTCTGATACCAATAATCCCTCGGATTATTACATAAATATATTACTTATATAAGTTAATGATATAAAAACGTGACGTACCAAAAAAAAACTTGTAATCGTTTAACAATTTTATGTATAGGTTAATAATATACAGCGATATACGTCACTATAATGTTATATACATGTATATCGCCATAGTATTTTTACATACTTTAGTCTATATAGATATATCAGAGTTAAATTAGGTCAACACAATATACAACAGTTAATAACTCACAGTAAATCAATATGACTGGTCGTATACAGCTATTATCTTCATATAAAGTCCACCATTAAATTCCCCACGGTTTCCTTTCCTTCCAATTTCTCTTCTTTCAAATTTAATACAATTAAAACGTGAATCATCTATTCTCGACCTTCTTCGTTAGCACCCGGAAGTTTCTTATTCTAGGAACTCCCTATGACGTCAAATGACGTAAAATTACTATAAATAACCTAATATGGACAAATGCTCATAGAAGCTGGCCAATTGTAGAGAAGGTTTGATACATAAATCCAGGATATCCGTCACAGATTTTTTATTATAATAATAAAATTTTTTTAGATGCCATTCGCTGAGATTATTATAGAGATTAACTTATTGTGTATGAAATTTTGTCCAGGTGAAAAAGTCTCATTAAGTCAAAGACAGATGAAAGCCGATGCTTAAATTTTGTCCAGGTGAAAAAGTCTCATTAAGTCAAAGACAGATGAAAGCCGATGCTTAAATATACAATAGCATTATTGTAGGCTTGCGTGTTCCAATGTGACAAACTGCGCCAGTGTAGCATAACGTGTATAAGAATGGTAGGCATGATCTAGAAACATGGGTCATATTGAGTTAATTAGTGTGATTTGGGTTTTAAAGGGATTAAAAAGAGATTTTCTAAATTCTTTATGTGTATCGAGAACAATGATAGAATCTGTGGTTCCTGTAATTCAACCCAAACTAGGCGTTTTATAACGTCACTAATCGCGAAGTCCTTATATGATAAAGCATATTTTACGATAAGTGACGTCATCAAACACTTGGTTTTGGTGGAATTGCAGAAACCACAGACGTCTGAAAATTGGAATGGTGCAAATTGATGCTTTCAGTGTCCCCGATACACATAAATGTTTTAGAAAACCTCTTTACAATCACTTTCATATAATAAAGCATAGAATACTTTGGTAATATAAATAATGAACAAATTAGTATAGAGCTTTCAGTGCTACATTAAGCTACACAAACTAAATAAAAATAATACACTATTTGTTTGGTATCCACTACTATTTCTATCTCTATAATTCAAATCGGTGACATCCGTTTTTTGGTTTTCGTTGTGGACGAAGTTGTTAGTGGCTATTACTGCTAATGACATAACAAAGGCGCCTTTCCGCCCCTAGAAGTAAATGTTAGTTGTTACGAACAGCTAAAACCCGAGATTCATTTTGCCTTAGGGGAGATACCAATACAAGAGTACTCTTTTAGTACCTGGATAATGTAACTCAATCTCTGGTAGTACTTGGCTATTGTTACTGGGCTACTGATATTACCAGGGTATGGTTACTAGGCCACTAGTTTTAACCGGGCTATTGTTACTAGACCTCTGGTAGCACATGGCTATTGTTACTGGGACACTGATAGTACCGGGGTATTGGTACTTGGCTACTGATGGTACCAGGGTATTGTTACTGGGACACTGATAGTACCGGGGTATTATTACTGGGACACGGATAGTACCAGGGTATTGTTACTTGGCTACTGATAGTACCAGGGTATTGTCCACTGGTAGCACTGCATAGGTCATTGGTAGTACCTGAGTATTGTTACTGGGCTGTTTATAGTACCAGGCTGTTGTTACTGGGTCATAGGTAGAAACAGGAAATTGTTACTAGACCACTAGTAGTATCTGTATAATCGTACTGGGCCACCGATAGTTGGGACTAGGTAACGTGTACTACTGGATTAGGTTATTGTTACTTGGCAACCAGTTTTACCAACTAGTACCAGAGTGCTGTTACTAAGCCACTGATAGTAGGCTACCAGGCTACTGTTAATAGACCTCTGGCAAAAGCAGGCTATTGTTACAGGTCCTTTAGTATTACCAGGCTACTGTTACCGGACCTCTGGTAGTACCGAGGTTTTGTTACTAGATCATTGTATTTAACCGGGTTGTTGTTATTAGACCTCTGGTAGTAGGCCCTACCTACTAAACATCTGGTTGTACCCGGATCTTGTTTATAGGTAATTGGCAACACAGGGGTATTGTTTTCTAGGCCACTGCCAATACCATGGTCATGTTTATAGGTAATTGGCAATACCGGGGTATTGTTTTCTAGGCCACTGTCAATACCATGGTCATGTTTATAGGTAATTGGCAATACCGGAGTATTGTTTTCTAGGCCACTGCCAATACCATGGTCATGTTTATAGGTAATTGGCAATACCGGGGTATTGTTTTCTAGGCCACTGGCAATTCCAGGATCTTGTTTATAGGCCACTGCCAATACCATGGTCATGTTTATAGGTAATTGGCAATACCGGGGTATTGCTTTCAAGGTCACCGACAATTCCAGGGTCTTGTTTCTAGGTCACTGGCAATACCAGGGTCTTGTTTATGGTCCACTGACCATAGCGGAGTCTTTTTATAGGCCATTGGCCATATCGGGGTATTGTTTCTAGGCCACTTGCCATACCAGGTTATTGTTTCTAGGTCACTGGTTTTACTCTTAATTGGCCACTGGTTGACCTCGAAAATATCAACCCATGGCCTCTCCTCCCAAAAATTGTATGCTTCATTGACCCAAATACTGTGATAAAATAATTTGATAACAATTAATAATGGAGCTTAGGTAACTTGAATGTCGATCTTGAAATCATTATTAAATGACAAATATGCTGATGGTTTTAATGTTTGTATCTCCATAAAATCAGAGAATATGGACTCTCCAGTAACCTTTCCGAAATACTAATAGCGTCGAACGTTTAGCCACCTTCTTTAGCCTACCAGTTGTACTGTTATATTTAGGTTTGGCAATTTCTTATTCAGGCCCGTAGCTACACGGGTGCCAGGGAGGGGCAACCCCCCCTCCCCCCCCCCCCCCCACCGTGGAAAATTATGATTTGTGACTTGTTTAGTCGCTATAGTTGAGCCCTCCTTCAAAAAAATTGGCCAAACCTGAGACGGCAGTGGCTATTTACCACTGATGTGGTACCCTTACAGCTGTATTACCCATAAATGTAATACCCACCGTAAATGTAATAGTCATCAATCATAAATGTAACAACCAACCCCACCATAAATGTAATAATATTTAACCATAAATGACTTTGCAGTTCAATCAATGCTGACTTAACAAGGGCCGCGGAGCGTCTCCGGAAGTGGAGGGGCCCGTGGTCCGAAAAATCCGACTTCACCTCCACCCTTACTTCCATACCAAAACTCCTCGGATTTCGGCCACTCGATTTTCAGATTCAAGACATTATCGGATGAAGATGCGAAAAAAAATTGGAATGAAAAAAAAAAAAAATTTGGGAGCCCCCCCCCCCCCCCGCTCCGCGGTTTCTGCTTAATTACTCTATTTTTTAACTGCACTGTATAAAAATCATCATTTAATGCCTACACTGACCCACACCATCCTATTTCGATAAATACAACGTGGTATATGTAAAGTAGAAAGATAATACAAATGTTGTTTATAACTAAAATATGCGAGAAGTGGGGCAAAGATACGTGCATATCCGGGTTTGATTAAAAAACGTGAACATGTAATTAAGCAGATATCATTTATAGCAATTAAACCAAATAATACAAACAGGTAAAAAGAATGCTCGTGTTAACGTATTCAATCGAGGGCTGTTGGTGCACAAACATGTACTCGACAATAGCAAAATAAATGATCCGGTAATAAATGGGTATATTCACACTACATCACATCGTCTAAATTCGGCAAATAGATTGTCCAATGAAAATTTCTGAAATCTCTAATTTGGCCAATGAGTTTGATCCGTTTTTTAAAACTAAATCCACCCTTACCCCCATACCAAAACTCTTCGGATTTCGGCCCTCGATTTTCAGATTCAAGACATAATCGTATAAAGATGAGAAAAAAAATTGGAATGAAAAAAAAATTATGGGCCAGGCCCCCCCTGCTCTGCGGTTTCTGCTTAATTACTATTTTTTAACTGCACCGTTGTTTATTACCTTTATGGTTGATGGGTATTACATTTATGGTGGGTTTTGGTTATTAAATTTATGGTTAAATATTATTACACTTATGGTGGGGTTGGTTGTTACATTTATGGTTGATGACTATTACATTTATGGTAGGTATCACATTTATGGTTGATTTTTGTTACATTTATGGTGGGTATTACATTTATAGTGGGTAGTACATTTATGGGTAATACTACAGATATATACAACGGCTTAGAAGCTTGTTAAATTAGGTCAATGTCACCATATTAGTCTATGGAGACAAATCATGGTAACTAAATTTGACCACGTTTTATTTTCATTTGGTGGATTTCATCTGTACCATTACTGACCTCGACGACATACTACAGTCAAACACTGTCATTATATGTAGCCTATCATTATTATCATCTACTACACACTACATACATTCACTTTCAATATCTGTATCATTACTGACCCCTACTACATACTACAGTCAACCACTATCAATTTCTGTATAATCACTAACCTCTACTACAGTCAAACACTATAATACCTATATCATTACTGACCTTCACTACATACTACAGTCAAACACAGTCATTATCTGTATACCAAACGCTATCAATATCTGTATCATTACTGACCATTCATACATCAGTCAAACACTGTCAATATCTGCATCATTACTGACCTCTACTACATATTACAGTCAAACACTATAATATCTTTATCATTACTGACCTCTACTACATACTACAGTCAAGCAGAATCAATATCAGTATCTTTACCTCTACTACATACATTCAAAAACTACCAATATCTTTATTATTACTGAAGTAGGTATCATACTGAAGTCAAACACTATCAATATCAGTATCTTTACTGACCTTTACTACATACAGTCAAACCGTACCAATATCTTTATTATAACCGATCTAGGTTACATACTACAGTCAAACACTACCAATATCTGTATCAATACTGACCTGGGAACATACTACAGTCAAACCTATCAATATCTGTATTATAACTGATGCCACTTTTCATTAAATTTCAAATACTTACTCGCTTTAATTGATAAACTACCTCTTGTGAAAAGTTCATTAGATGCTACCAATGTTTCGTCAAAATGTTGTTTTGGATTTAGGGTTTCATTATGCGGTTCGGATCATTAGTACTGGAGTTAAATATTTATACTACATACTACAGTCAGACACTATCAATATCTGTATTATTATTTAACTCTTCTACATACTACAATCAAACACTAAAGAAAAGGCATTTGTTGGATGCTTACGCTTCACTTTATATTGATTGGTACGGTACCAAATACAGTTTTAGGTATGTTATCGAGATTTATGTAATCGAGATTTATCTGGCGGGAACATTTAGTTATATTTATACAAATTCGGAAATGAAGATATATTACCGACATAATAATAAGATAGCTTGCCAGGCAGCTTTGATTTTAAATAAAAATATTTGGCAGTACAGTGACAATTACCGGTGTGAAATATTAAAATTTCAGTCTTACACTTATTTTACACTTTTGTGTAATACTACCCAAGTACATATCCGGCCGGTTTGATTTAAAAACTAGAACATGTAATTAAGCGGATATCATTTATAGCAATTAAACCAAATAATACAAACAGGTAAAAAGAATGCTCGTGTTAACGTATTCAATCGAGGGCTGTTGTGCACAAACATGTACTCGACAATAGCAAAATAAATCTATGATTCGGTATTAAATGGGTATGTCCACACTACATCACATCGTCTAAATTCGGCTAATAGATTGTCCAATGAAAATTTCTGATATCTCTAATTTGGCCAATGAGTTTGATCCGTTTTTTAAAACTAAATCTAATGTATTAATAAAATTGAAGCTAACTTTGCTAACAGACTGGTCGACCAACTGTTCTGGGGCGAACTTTATTCTCATCACAGCAGAGATCAAAGACGAAATCGTAGAGTTTATCACCACAACAAGCCGGTCTCATCCCCTGTCTTCTATGTAATATACCATCACAACAAATATGTGATCTAGGAAAGTATACTTCTCCGCCACAAACACCTGTAAAATAAATAAAAGTATTGATAAGCTGTTAAAAAGAAAGGAGAATAGAAGTTAAAATTTTAAGGGTTAATATTTCTCTTTGAGCTAATGAAATTTGTTTATATCCGGGTGCTTTTTGCACCTGATACTTAAAGGGACAGATGCGCTATTTTGGTAGGTTGAATCGAGTCTTGAATTTATGTAAATAGTCTTCAGAAGTACTAGAAATGTAAGAAAAACGCATAATTCCTACAAAAAAACTTCAAACTATGAATTTTACTCACTATTTCTAGATATGTTTTTCTATCTATCACAAAGTATCATAAAATAACGAGTCGTCATTTTAACATTCAAACGCAGATAATTCTGGACACACGTGGATTTGAAGGCTCAAATTTTGACGGATCTATAGGCCTATCTTCTGGCGAGTTCTATCAGGTTCACTGACATGATGACCACAAAAACTGCTATTATAACAAACAAAATCTACTTAAGTCTGCATTTAGCATTTCTCTGTCATCAAGTTGGATATATCTAAAGTTTCAGGTATTTCAGACAGACTAATCAAACTGCTTAAAATCTTTGCTCTGATTTCCCTACCTAAATAACTGATTACGATATTCACAGTTGTTCGAATGACTAAGGTATATTTCTATGTGGACTGCGCACAGCTGACCAGAGGGTACGAAATTAATCGAAATACAATGAACAGTGTGCGCTGTGGCGGCGCTATCCGGGGTACATAGGGAGGGATGGGTAGGCATTGAGTCTCTCTGCCCCCTAACCCTAAATGTACCCCAGTTTCGGGTGGCTGGCGCCGCCATTGGGTGTCGAGTACTGATTCTGAAAATAAAAACTATGTACGAACCTGCTACTTTCTTTCTTATAGTTTTAATCTTGTCACCTCGTGGATCATGGTGAATATGTGGTTTATGGTGATCACCAAAATCACCATGATGATCAGATTTAGGTTGTGCAAATGGTGATCCTAATATGTGGTCATCCCATTCACCATTGACATATACAAGATAAACAATCATTAGACATAGAACATAAGAAGAGCTGTACTTGAACATAATTCCACCTTTTACCGTTGACACTGCTAGAAAGTTTTAGATGAAATTTGTTACCTGGTGTACCCAAACCTCACTACAGTAAACATATCTTCACCGTACCAGGCTTTGTAATTCACTTTCACTTGAAGAATTTTCTCAAATTCGATCAAATAAAGCCTTAGATCAGTGGTCTTCAAGGTGATTGCATTGCTGAAAACAGTATTATTGTTATGAAATAAGAGCATACGAAAGTGTATAGTTAATATGGTAAAAATGAGAAAGATGATATTTAATAATTAAGGTATCAAGTCCAGGCTAATCAATACAAGCAGCTCTGTTTTTATTTTGAAGATTCCCGCACAGAGCCTTTATCGGATAGGACTTGTCCCTCTGTTTAATTACTTTTTATCCATCATATTGTTCACAGTCTTGGGATCTGATCTGTAGAGATCCCCTAAAGAAGAGAGAGGTGGATTTCTTTGACATAGTGAAGATGATTTCCGCACAAGGTTTGTTAGGAAACTTCACACGGATGAGATACAAATAACAACAAGCTTTGGCTGTTGTCCATAGTTAAAATATTTTGGTTGGTGACACTGTGTTGTTCAAATATATTGATCTGCTAAGCTCTGTGTCTAAGGAAGAAAAGAAAACGTTTGTACCGGGTTGGGCTACTAGTCTTATCGATCCGAATGCCATACAACATAGTTTTCATGTGATGCAATCTTCTAATAAGTCACTGCAGTTTAAGTTGGAAAAGCCTATTGCACTTGCTTTGAACAGTAAGTTGAAACTGTTTACATACAAATTGCACAAATACAGTCACGCAAAATATTACAAAATGTAATCTCGTATGTTCCAAATTTTTCTTTTAACTCTCTGGGCCTTTAATTCTTCAAATATTCTGAGTATAAAATCTGAACCCCAGAACCAATTCATTCCCGGCGACTGAGATGACTACAGTGGCGGATTTTGGACTTGTTGGGCCGTAGGTAAACGAACGGTAGAGGGCCTAATGTCTCATTTTAGGGAGGGGGCGTGGTGTGATTACAAGTTTATGGCAGGATGTTTTTTTTCATGAACAGATCAATAAGCTCATCAGCATCAATCGTATGCACGATATCGGCATTCATCACCATTAGGCTCAAAGTCAATTTAGTTGATTCCCACACATCACGCTCCTAATAGGACAATTTTCCATGGGCCTGTGGAAAATGATTAACTGTTTGATAATTTTTACTGTTACAAAATTTGTCATGGGCCGAATTCTCCATGGGCCGAAAGACAGCTTCTGGCTGACTTGTCCCTTTAATGACACTTTTAGCTATCAGACGAAAGTTGTGACCATAGTCCAGACGAGTTCTACAAATACTGTGCAATTTTCTTGATCTCAAATATATGCAGTACATTTCGTTGGTCAACTAAACATTTATCTTGTGTAACAACTTCGATTTCTAGGCTAATCCTTGCTGCATCAGACTATTTTGTAGGTTAGTCGTTTGACTGGTTGGGGATTTAACCAACTCTACCATTTGAACACATTGCAACGAGACCGCCCACTTTTCACTGTATCTGGTTTACCTTCGAAGTCGAAATGAGACTAAAAAGGACCTTTTTTCAATAAGCTTTTAATTATATCAAGTAACCTAATTTCGTGCGTACTTAATTTCCTGCATCTCCGGAAATGATAACTAATTTATATGTGAGACCTCGCGTGACCTCTGCATGTTTTGATAAACATCGGTTATCTCTACGTCAACCTGCAGAATTTTTCTTATCATTTGAAAGCAATGTCAAATTTATTCTTTATTTCTAAGAGGAACAAAATGGCGGAGTTCAGTTTCCTTAAGTTTCCTTATAATCCCCAGTAATCGGAATTCCAAGTGTCGTCTGATAGAATACATTCCAGTGAATAAAGTTAAGTGACAAACTAGCGGATTCAATGTAAGCTAAGCAAAAAAATTCTATGGAACACAATGTGGGTCATATTCTAATGTTATTTCAATGAATTTTAGCAATGAATTAGCCTACTGTTACATTTTACCTATCTTATTTTTTTTCTTCAAATCAATGTTCATTGAATGAATTGTCATTAGTTATTATAATGACTTGATTTTAAAGATAAATACTAAGAAATGATAATTACACAACTTGGTATCCATACCATGTGTTTTTCTAGATCAAACATTGTACACTAAAATAGGTGACGTATATTGCAGCCGTTGTCGAGTTGGTTAGGTCTACTCATGAAATATTGGTCAAAGTGAGGGATTCATAAGGAAAATTGAAACAAACCAATTTTAATCATCTTATAGAATATTTGACTCGACCGAAACATCCGTCTCTATTCCAGTTTCTGATTTGAACAGAAAATATAGGCCCTGTTAAATGGAAATATTCCGCATCTCCGTATGTGCAGGGGTTTTAAACCTATTTAGATAGGCCCACCTCGCATATCCAAAATTAAGATACATTTGGAAAGATGAATGTTTTTGTAATCCATCATAACATCAGTTTCTCCCTACACCATCTATGTCACATCTCCGGCTCCATCAAGGTTTTTTTTTAAACATAACTGATCTCTCATGGCCGGTTAAAACTGCGTGCGTAGCCAAAATCTCGAGGGTCACAGACTCACGTGATACTAATAAAACGAAAGTCACGGTAATGCCCAACATTTTTTTATCGTCATTATAATGGTAATTTGATTTTGTGTTAGTAAAAACGCATCTCTGGGAGGTGTTGAAAATCCCCATTAAACAGGCCATTTTTCTTCTGACTACTCCAGCCGACAACTGTCAAAGTATCCTTCACAGGCTGGAATAGAGGCTTCGGACTAACCACTGACGCACTAAAGTAAAAATGTAAAATTATGATCAGAAGTCAGGTAGGTAAGCCAAAGTTGAAAAAATTTCGCTATTATTGAAATTAAAACTTCTTCTGTCTTTTATATTCTCTGTCCTCTGTCCTTTAGTGCATATTTTGTGTGAGAGATACAGATTGTGCTATGAAGATATTAGCCAACTGTTAGATTGTAAATATTTATACAGTCAAGTAACCTAATTTCGTGGAAACCTATTATTCGTGGATTTCCAGAAAGGATTAATAATTTACATGAGCGACCTTGCGCGACCTCCGCATTAGTTTGTTTTTATAAACATGGGTTTTCTGTACAATATCAGCTAGTAGAATGAATCCAGTAGTTTCAAGCAAGGTAAAGTGTAATAATGTATACTTTGACAAATACAAAATGGCGGATTTCACTTATTACCAAACGTCACCATTTTTTATCGGCCGAATTTCCTTATAATCCCAAGCGGTAATCGGAATTCCAACTGTCGTCTGCTAGAATATATTCCAACGAATGAAGTCACGTGATCAACTAGCCGATTCCGTGTCAGCAGAAAATTTCTATGAAACACAAAGTGGGCCATATTCTTATGTTGTTTCAGTGACTTTTAGCAATAAATCACGCTACGTATCTTATTTTGTCAGTCGCTATTTTATTTTTAAATCGTGGTTCTTTGAAGGAATTGTCACGAGTTATAATGAATTGATATTAAAGATAAATACTAAGAGAAGTTAATTATACCACCTGGTATCCATACAACGTGTTTTTCTAGACTTATTTATAGATCAAACATTGTACACGAAAATAGGTGACGCATTCTGCCGCCGTTGCCTTGTTGGTTGCTCATGAAATATGGGTCAAAGTGAAGGATTCATAAAGAAAATCGAAATAAACCAATTTTAATCATTTTGTAAAATATCTGAGGAAACATCTAAGACATAAATTTTTTTTTTCGTTTTCTTAACTTTGACGAAATTCGGTGTTGAATCCTTATATCCACGAAAATAGGTTACATCACTGTAATATTAGATCGGGTTTCCATACGGTGGGTTCGTTTTGCCGCATTGCCCAACTTTCCGCATCGTGCCCAACTACACAAAAACGACATGTTAAACGAAACTAAAGGTTTCTGATAAAATCCGAATTGGCCATTTTGTACATAAAAAAAAATATTTTAATCTGTGGCCCTCCATCTTTTTTTTTATTATGTATAATTTGGACCTGTTAGGGAAATCGAAACTATAGTTTTATGGTAAAATCTGGAATAAAATAAATAAATACCAAGTACAAACGATCAGAACCGTAATACAAAATACATAAATCCATAAAACGAAACTGCGTGCCAATAACGCCACCCTCGTGCTAGAAAAAATGGCAACTGAAATGTCTGAAAGTGAAAATCTTCTGAATAGTAAATCAGAATTTTAAAATTCTCGTATTCGATGTGCTCTATTATTCGGCAGGGCTCAACCCCCACTGGTTCCAGATAAGTCCCAGAATGTCCTGGTGGACAAGGTAGAAGCTGGGTTGATTGGCTACACACTACTAACTACAAAAATCGACGAACCTGCGATTGTTTCGAAAAAAAAAAAATTAGATTGTGGACCACAGCCTATACGCCCATCACGGCATGCGGATGGTAAATATTCAAGATTTTAGGGCAAGGGAAATAACTCTGCTTCTAACGGTCGAAAATAGCTCGAATTCGAGCTTGATCTTCGTTTTTTGAATATGTATACACATACCGAATTTCTTTTGATTCCATCAAAAAATCTAGTTTTTAGAGTGTTTACAAGCAAATGTAGGGCAATGCGGCAAAACGAACCAACCGGTTTCCATATTATATGTTTTAATGTAGACAATTCGGATTAACAAAATGACCTTGACCTATGCTCTATTGAAGGAAAGATAACTCGGATTTATTATGGAGTGCTGGAAATGAAAATACAATGATAAAATGACAACCCAGCAAAATTAAAGATGAAAACTTACAAATTGATGCAGCATCAGCATAGCAAAACTGCTAGCAGTGCTAAAGGTGTCTGTTTCTGTGACATTTTTTTTATATGCTTATGCTTGAGATTAAAATTGGTTTGCTTCGATTTTCTTTATGAATCCCCCTCCTTGGCCCATATTTCATGAGTAAGCAACTCGACAACGGTGGCATTGACAACGGTGGCAAAATGCATCACATATTTTCATGTAAAATGTTTGATCTGTGAATAAGTCGAGAAAAACATGTTGTATGCATACCCAGTGGCCTATAATTAAGTTTTCTTAGATTTATGTTTAACAATATTTCATTATAACAATTGACAATTCCTTCAAAGATAAATGATTAAAGAAAAAAAAAAATTTGACTGACAGAATTAAATATGTAATTACAGTGGTGTAACCTATTTTCTTGGATATAAGGATTCAACACCGAACTTCGTCAAAGTTAAAAAAACGAAAAAAAAATTTTATGTCTTAGATATCTCCTCAGATATTCTACAAAATAATCAAAATTGGTTTATTTCGATTTTCTTTATGAATCCTTCACTTTGACCCATATTTCATGAGCAACCAACTCGGCAACGGCGGCAGAATGCGTCACCTATTTTCGTGTACAATGTTTGATCTATAAATAAGTCTAGAAAAACACGTTGTATGGATACCGGGTGGTATAATTAACTTCTATTAGTATTTATCTTAAATATTAATTCATTATAACTAGTGACAATTCCTTCAAAGAACCATGATTTAAAAAAAAAATAGCGACTGACAAAATAAGATACATAGCGTGATTTATTGCTAAAAGTCACTGAAACAACATAAAAATATGGTCCACTTTGTGTTCCATAGAAATTTTCTACTGACACGGAATCCGCTAGTTGATCATGTGATTTCATTCATTGGACTACATTCTAGCAGACGACAGTTGGAATTCCGATAAGCGCTTGGGATTATAAGGAAATTCGGCTGATAAAAAATGGTGACGTTTGGTAATAAGTGAAATCCGCCATTTTGTATTTGTCAAAGTATACATTAATACATTTTACTTTGCTTGAAAATACTGGATTCATTCTACTAGATGATATTGTACAGAAAACCCATGTTTATTAAAACAAACTAATGCGGAGGTCGCGCAAGGTCGCTCATGTAAATTATTAATCATTTCCGGAAATCCACGAATAATAGGTTTCCACGAAATTAGGTTACTTGACTGTAATAAGACAAGTAAGACGCAAGAGTGATTCATTGCTAAAAGTCATTGAAACAACATAAGGATATGACTCACATTGTGTTCAATAGAATTTTTCTGTTGACACGGAATCCGCTAGTTTGTCAAGTGACGTCGTTCGCTGGACTACATTCTAGCAGATGCCACTTTGAATTCCGATTACAGCTTGGGATTATAAGGAAATTCGGCTGATAAAAAATTGTGATATTTGGTAATAACTGAAATCCGCCATTTTGTATTTGTCAAGGCATGCATTAATACATTTTACCTTGCTTGAAAGTATTGGATTCATTCTGCTAGTTGACATTGTACAGATAACCCATGTTTATCAAAACAAGCAAATGTGGAGGTAACGCGAGGTCGCACATGTAAATTATTAATCATTTTCAGAGATGCACGAAAAATAGGTTAGCACGACTTAAAATTCTTCCTGATAAGGTGTAAAAAAATAGTTGACAGTTTTTGAGATTTTCATCAATCCAAAGACAATTAAGACGCTAAATAAGTACTAATTAAGTTGATATTTTAATTCATATAAAAATAACTTTTAAAATGTGATTCTGTTTCTGTAAACATTGGAGCCGGACCCTGTCCTACAGGTCAGACATTGAGCCATTTAATAGGCCTACCCAAACTCACTACACTGACTTTGTTCATTTATTTTTTTATCTTTGTAGATGCTCAAGAATTATTGTTAAGTAGTAAAGATTTTCCAGACATCAGTCTTGGTGATGTTGTTGAGATTTATCATCCAGTAGGAGATTATAGGTACCAGTACTGTAATATTATCTTAGCCATTTCAACAATATTTATTAGAATTGTTGTGCCTCTGTGTCTTGAGACATACCCACTAACCTTGCCACCTTAGCCTATAGCTTAACTAAAAGAGTTTTATGAAGAAGGGTAAAGCCTACCCCTTCATTGTATTGTGGTGGTTGGTGAGGCACAAGGACAGTTTTGAATATCTAGTCAAATGTGATGCCAAATTTGGCATTTAATGAAAATTCTCAAAAATCATCGATCCAAATATGTATCAAATCAACTCCCTAAAAGTACTGATAACTAATCCATTTATCTCGTCCGAGTAACTGGTAGGGCCAGATTTGTCAGGCTAGCACCCCTCCACGATGAAATGAACTATAAATTGGACAGATTTGGATTAGGCAAGAGTTAGGCTAAGTCTCATGTAATCAAGCTAAAATTCTTAATAAAGAAATGGTAAAACCACGTTTCTGGCTGAAACAAGATATACATATATGTTTGTACTTGACCATGGTTCATGATTAATTAATTTCAGTCGTTTATTGTTACAAGTTAAACAGTTTAAAGATGATACATCACAGAAAGGTAAACAGTAAAACCAATGATTGTTCATCATTATTATCAAGCTGAAAAATTTATGTCATTCAGCCTGATATAGATTAGAGTTGGAAGAGTGCAATTAGTTTATGTTTACCTGTTAATTGTAACAATAACTATTTCAGCATGTTTTTGAAATTTAAGAGCTGAAAAATAAGTGCTTCTATATCATTTGACAAGACAAATGACCTAACCAAGTTATAAGCTCAAAATCAGTAAGTGTTAAAAACAATGTATTTAATTTAGTTTGTCAGTAGGTGTATTTCTATTAATAGTTATATCTAGGTTATGAAGCTAGACAATATTTTTTTAATAGTTTGATATTGTTCATTGTAGAAACTGTGAGTGTTGAACAATCTATTGCTGCAGCATTCCATTTAAGAAATTATAATGATGTGATAGTTAATAAAATCAATAAAGAGGTAAGACTATTCCATGTAGAAATCACCTCTATATAAAAGATAAGAATTAATACATTTACAGCAACTTTAATTTTTTTTTTTTTTTTTTTTTTTTTCGAAATTTACACACCTTCCTGAGCTTAGACTGCAGCAACCATTCAACTTCTCTAGACCTTCTGTAGTGGCAACGTGTTCCTTAAATATATATTGGAACATTTTTGCAAAACCGGAATTGCCACAGTTCAACATGTGCAAAAAGTTGAAAATCGGCTCTAGAAGGCGCATTTTTGCATCGATTTTCTTCGGGTTTACATTTTTACAATCTACCTGTAATTTCTGACCTGATAGCAATTGAAAAATTATGAAATTCTAAAATTCGTCGCTCACTTTTTTCGATCAAATTTTTCAATTTTTTTGCAACTTTTTTGTTTTTGCATTGATTGATCTGAAATTTAATATGCAAAGGGGTATCACTAAAGTAAATAATATGTAGTTGTCAAATATTTAACTTTACTTTCGGTTTTAAACGGGGAATCAATTAAAAGTACAATCCACTTCCGGTCGAATAACTTCCGATGTAATTGAAATAGGTCAACGAAATTTATGCTGATTGTAAGTAAATGCTATTACAAAAAACGAAGAAAAAAAAATCCAGACCAGAAGTGATACTTTGGCCGCCATATTGAATAAACACACTTTTGTAAAACTCAAAATGGGGCCTCAGGGTAAATGTTGATATGCTCAAATTTGATGTGAATGTATTCCGCAATCGATTGCGCAAAAAACATTGGGAGCCGGATTTTGAATTTCGCTTTTGCTTTTTTGCAACTTCCGGTTGAAATTTGTTCATGCTTTAAACGATCACACCATGTGACCTTGACCTTTGATGACCTTGACCTTCATAGGGTCAAAGGTGATTGACCTTGGCTATTATTTGATACTTAGACCTTTGACCACCGACATGTACATCCGGTTTTATAACTATCCGTAAAAAGCCAAATTCGCAACTTTGGACTGCTCTAGCACGTGACCTAATTAACCTAGAGGGTTAATTTTTTTGGTTTCCTAATGTGCTTCTCATGCACTTTACATAGATATAAAACAATTGCTTTTTTTAAAGCAAAATTGAAATTAGTGATTTTTTCAAATTTGAGTTTTATTTTACCATATTTGTGTCTTTTTGATCTTGGTGTATGTATATCTTATGACCTATTTTATGTAGAACCTTGATATTTGGAATACAACTAGACACTTTGAATATGAATTCACCTATGACAAAAAAATTGGGGTGGGCGTGGCACATACGGATTGAAATACTAATTGTTTACATTTTGGGGTAGGGGCATAACTCGCATAGGATACGTTTGTTAAAAAAGGGACTTTGCACACAATTACCTCATCCTTTTGGCCAGTTTGTGTTAACAGCTCAGTTGTTTCAGCTTTATAGTTCCAAAAAAGGAACGGGTTTTAACATTTGGATATTTTCATTTTTCGATTTTGACCTTTGTTGACATTTGTTGACCTATATCTTTTGACCTGAATAATGTAGAAGCTTGAAATTTAAAACACAACATAACATTTGGAATATCAATTACCCTATGCAAAAAAAATTAAGGTGGGCGTGGCACATCTGGGTTATATTACTCATTATTGACATTTTTGGCCAGGAGCATAACTCGCAAAGTATACGAATGTTCAAAATGGAACTTTGCATACAATTATCTCATGTTTTGAGCCACTTTGTCTTAGAAGTTCGGTTGTTTCCGCTTCATAGTTCAAAAAAAGGAACAGGTTTTGGAAATTCAAAATTTTCAATTTTTGACCTTGACCTTTGTTGACCTTGACCTTTGTAGGATCAAACGTCATTGGCATTGGCTATCTATTTATACTTTTATATTTGCTGTCCTATGTCAACTTCCAGTTTAT